GATCGCGATGTTCCCCCCCCCCCCCACCATTTTTTGCAGCACTAGCTGGTGCACCACGCTTTGGTCTTGTGGGGTGTTGGTTCCATCCAAGCCACAGGAGTGTAGTGTTGTGTCGTGCTGGACGTGCAAAGTGTCTCTGTTCGGCACCCTTGTATTGCTGCAGTCTCTGGATGATGATTGGCCGTTCTCTCTGCACACGTCAACGCGTGTGTGCTGTCTTAGGCGTGGTGATGAGTTTTTGTGAGTTGTTGCCTTGCCGTCGGACTGCTGTATTCTGTCTTGTAGAGTTTCAGGAATGAAGCACTGCATGCATGTGTTGGTTGCTGATCATCTTATATTCAACTTGAGCGTGAGTGCGGAATTTCCCGGTTCGTGCCTTGTTCCGTTACCGTTACCCTATCTAGCCGCCGGAAACGATGCGTCAATCGGACGAGCCGACGGACAGAGAGCGATGCGAGATGGAGATCATCAAGAGCCTCATGAGAAGCTACTTCGACATCGCCAGAAAGAACTTCCAGGCAAGCCATCTACTTCTCGCATCAACACTTTTGCGTACGTGTCTGATATCTTCATATTGTTTATATTTTGGCATTGAAACATGTGCTTTGGTCATCGAAGCATAGCATCTGATGTCGGAACATAGGAGTAGAACGCTTGGATCTCATGTGTCGCACATACCTCACCCATTGCATATTTGTTGGCGTGTGCGTTTACCTAGATAGGCTACCTTCGGCGACATCAGTCCAACGTGTCAAATCCACCGGTGTTGATGTCTCTTCGTATGTTCCTTTTTTGTTTGGTTTTCAGTGACGATTACGTACGTAGATTCATCAAGGTGAACAATGGTTAGTTGAGCTTGCTTCCCATGATATCGGTTGTCGGACGTGGTCAAGAATCATAGTCACCAGAGAACGGGGTGATGTTTGATGGGGTGGGCAGGCTTCGCCGGTATCTCTTTGAGACAGTCCCCGGTCATGGATGAAAGAGACGGATCACATGACCCCGAATCGCGTCATGTCGACACGGTACGGTTAGTTGGCCATCTATCGACACTTCTTCCTCTGCATGCCTCACTCACGCCATTATGTTATCTGTATGTGGCGCGTTCGAGTTAGAGCCCCGCCTGTGATTCTTGCCGACTTGCGTACATATCGTGTGCGCTATGCGATGTTTTTCTTGCGATCGCAGGATTTGGTCCCCAAGACGATCATGCATTTTTTGGTGAACGACGTGATCAACATGCTCCAGGTGAGAGAGGCGTCTCCTGCCGTCTTTTCTCTCTTGTGTGTAACCTCGTACTTGCCTTGCTTGCTCGCGTAAGCTGGACGTTGGTTTACTTGCGTTCATCGTCACCAGCATCAGTTGCATCGTTCCATTCGTTGTTGCTGCTGCCTTGGAACCAGAACACAGTTCCGAGCCCTATCCAGTGCCGTGCCTATTCTAACGTACCGTGCATGGCGAAGAAACGAATTTCCGTGAGACCAAGTTATCACACATCTCGTTGACCGCATGAGACACACTGTAGACTGTAGATAGGAGCTGCAACGGGAGAGTGCGCTGTTTTCGCGCTACACCTGTTGTAGAGCATGCAGGGGAAAGGACATGTTATCCATGATTGTGAACGTTCTATACGATACAGTTGGTGTGTCTGTCTACAGTTCGCGCCGGTAATCGAGAACCCTTTTTTGTGGAAAAAGTGGTTCAAATTGTCGCGAAAATTGGAAATGTCGGCTACGAAATGTAACCATCCCCTGAATCCTACGCAAAACTCTCGCCACTTGGATAATATAAAACAATTTTGCGCCTTGACCTAAAAGTAGCGTTTCTCTTGTCTACGGGTACCATCTGTACATGATGCCATCCTACTCCTGCTTGAGTGTTGGCCGGCCTGCTTGGTCAACAAGCAGACTTTGCTGCACTGCTGTGTCTTTGTGGGGCCATGTTTTAGTTGGCATGCGTGTTGTTGCGCCTGCTCGCCTTCAGATGGCCATCGGCTCAACACAAGCCAGTCGAGTCGTGGTGCCAGTGTCGGTACATGCTTCGTTTCCGTTGAGAACAAACCTCTTCACTTGATTGCCTGTTTCTGCTCACTTGCGTGTGTTAAGCTTGTGTGTGCATCACGTTTGCTACTCTGCTACCCTAGTGTTAGCACGATAGTCAATCGGAACCGTGTCATGAACATGTTGCCTCGTCTAGGATGCTCTGGCCCTCGACAAGAGTGAGTTCTTTCTAACGCCATGGGTGCTGTCCCCGCTTTATCTCACCGCACACGTGTCCGGTAGAACGAGCTGGTGTCGAAGCTGTACAAAGAGGATCTCACGGGAGAGCTCATGCGTGAGACGGACGACGTAGCAGAGCGGAGACGCATCTCGAGAGACATGCTGTCCTTACTCAAAAAGGCAGTCAGCATCGTCAGCGAAGTGCGCGACTTTAACCCCTTCCTCGGTTGATGTATTTTTTGGCATTGAATACTTCAAGACGATGTGTTGGACCCGGAGCTTCTTTCGTGCTGTAAACTACACCACCCTCCTCCTCGTTGTTGTCGCTGTTGTCGTTGATGGACGTTGTGTTGTTGTTGCTATCATTGTCGTGAGGTGTTTGGTTGTTTGCACCGTTTTCGAGGCACGAACCCGGACTCTACGGCAATTTGCTGCCTACTAGTTTTTCTTGCTGTCGTTACGTCATCCTGTGTGAGATCCGATCCCTTCCCTGGGCGGGGAAGGACTGTGACGATGCGCATTGTTGACGATGATAGCGCGTTTTGGTGTGTGTTTTTGGCGTAGGACAAGCCGAGGCTAGTATTGGCGATGCGACGGGAGCGCCTACGTGTTTCGACGGTTTGAGACATTCCTGAGTTTTCCCAAGTGGCAGTTGTGCTCTCCTCCGTCTCCCTTCTAAATATTATTTTCTTTTGTGCGCCAGAGGTGCTTTTATTGTGTAACTTTCAGCTTGGCACTTACCGTGCGCCCTTTGTCGGTGGTGTAGTTGGATTGAGCGTTGTTCCAGCGGACCTTCAGAACTAAAACGAATTTCGCCCGGAACCTAGGTACCTTCCGTTGGACACAGTGTGGTGGGGGAAGGTCCAGCCTTTTTCCCACAGCCGTGGCAAATGATAATGCCAACGCCATCATGCTTGTGTATTGATTTTTCTGCCATGACGCGCGTGCGACTCAACTACGGTTCGGGGAGATGGGATTGTTGTCGCTTTGCCAAGTCTCTGAAGGGCGAGGGTGGAGGGATGGCGAGAGTATCCCGTACCCAAGCACGGGGACGATCAAGCTCTGAGTGAGCCCTTGTACTGTGGTGGCGGGCGACGGTGTGCGAATGTTCGCAGTTGAGTTTGTTTTTACCTGCCTTTTCCCTGTCTACCCCCCATCTCTGCTCTCGAGTGGACTGGCTGTATATGAATGGAGTGGCGTTTTGGGCCAGCTACGTGGTGGTGAGAGCAAAGCGGCGGGGGACCGGTTGTAGTGGTTCACGGCCGATTTTTCTTGTTGTTTGAGAAAGCGATACCCGCGGTTTCGTAGTCCAGGCGACTTCGCCTCCAAAGAGACTCTTTTTTTTTTTTCCACAAGAAGCACACGATCATTGAAAGACTACGCGTTCGATAAAGTATCCCAGGCGAAGGCATGCGGTGAAAATGTAACAGTGGGAAGGGGACAAGAACCTGCTCGCTGACTCTTTGTTCGTTGTCCTTCGCGCGGCACGTCAGGCATTTGAAAGGGTGAATGAAGAGGATCGATTGGCGGAATCATTTGGGGGGGCACACTGTTTCGCCAAACAGTCGGGAGGGGTAATGCCGCGATTCTGTGACGACGTGTCGAGTTCCCCGAGGCCCCAAGGGGGGTGGAGGGCACTATCTGGTGTGCCGCGGCGATTGAATGGCATAGAGAGTGTTGGACCCTCTTGTTGACGAAGTACACCCCTTGACGATAATTGCAACCCGAATAGGATTGGTTTCAGCTACGGAAATATAATACCGAAATGAATCCGCGGCACCGGTTTTTTGAAAGATTATTGACCGCGACTTCTTGACCGGGGCCGATTTCTCTCGGCTCGCGAAAGCGACGACCACGAACTCTCGGCGATGCCTTCGCGCGACCTATGCCTCGAGGGCCCTGTCGAAGAAGTTTCAATCGACACGACACCGGTGCCAAACGCAAGCATTTTGCCTTCGCCAGCGTCCCTTTGACGTCTTCTAGTGTGACTTCCTTCTCTTCTTCTCCGCAGCTGAATTCTCTGAGCTCTACAACCCCACAACAGCGCCACGGATGACGAGGCTTTCAATAACCCGGTTGTTTCGTCGACTCCTTCAACAGCCTTGCCCTTCTCGAGTACGAGGAAAACAAGAAAGCCGGATAAACTCAGTGACGTACGGATTAACACTCCGAACAGCCGATCCGTGAAGGGGTATTTGTAAGACGTGCTTCCATTCTTAAGACTAAGCATCAGTCATGTTGGCATGCACGGAATGCATGCGGAGGTGTGTAAAGCCCAAGACACGTCCAAAAACGCCTCACCGACCTGGCCTTCGGGCAATGACGCAGCTTCTGCGGCGTCTGGCCTGCATTTTCTCCCTGCCTCGGCTCATTCAGAAGCCATCGCCGCCAGCCTCATCAATCCTGCAAGAGTACAGTTTCGATTGCACCTGGCCCACTCCCGCTGTCCTAGCTTGTCCAGTCAGGCCAGCCGCGCTCGAAATCCGTCAGAACATAGTCTACGCGTACACGTACAAACATGCCGTCGATCGCCGTAGGTGCGGGGCGCCCCCAGCTCCCAGTGGATTGCATTGGAAACTCCACGGCGCCGTCCGCTGTTCCACGCGCGACTCGCGTAACATGTCATCCACGACGGCCACCGGCTTGGATCGCCGCGCCCGAGGTACCACCCACACGTGTGCCCTCGACACCCACAAACATCGGGCACACACCGAAGGTCGTGGCGCTGCCTCCGCCCCCAGGACACGATCTACACGCCCAGCAGGTCTAACGACAACGCCACCGGTGCCTCCGCACCGCCAGTATCTGCCGCGGAACTGTTCCATACATCCGTCTCGAGCTACAATCTTTCCAGCCCGTGAACAACAAGCCGAGTCCGCCTGCAAGGTTGCCGTCCGCTGTATCGTCCTTGGACATCCATCGATCCTCCCCAAAGAATTTCTGGATCTCCTAGACGAAGTTCCTTCGGCACGACGTTCCGTGCGCGTGGTCTTCACGACGACATCGGCAACACACTGCTTGTGCGTGAGCTGACGAAGATGAAAGTGGTGGAGACCGGTTGTCCTGGTTCACGGCCGGAAGACCGGCAACCCTCAAGCTCAAATCGTATGATTGTCACCAACGCCTACCTTCCTAACGGGAATGGCGGTGTTGAGTGTGTGAACCACCCGATGGCCCAGATGCTTGCAACGGTTGTCAACGACCGCCAGGATGAATGGAGAAGCCACCTCCATCACGTCGAGTTTGCGTACAAACACCTCCGTGAGCGCTGCCACTGAGTTGGCGGCGAACGAAATCCACTTGGGTTTTCTCCGACGATTTCAACACACCGCCTTTCAAAACTTTGCGCCCGTGGGCACCAAAGCCTCGAATCACGACCCCTTGTAGCACTACGATACCGCTGCTGACCGCCCGCGCGGATCACGTGGGCCGGTCCGCGAACAACACGCCCTGAAGGTTTCCCGCGCACATCGCCGGAATTCACAAATGTCAGATGTCCTGTATGAATGGCCGGTGTGCACGGTCGGCGGTTGAGTGTGGATATACAACTCTGTAGGCACGATTCGCCAAGACGGGAAAGCTGGCACAGGCGCCAAGTTCCTCGAAGCTAAGTTGTTCATGAACTGGACTGGGTCTGTCAAAATCCTTACCGTCAGTCCAGCTGGCAAAAGTCTCGGATCAACGGTCACTTCCCGACTTATTCCTGTACCTCGACCTACCTTCGAACACGTCAGATGTAGGCCCCAAGTTAAGTGTCGTGCATCAGTCACGCGATAACAAACCTTGCGCAAACCTGCAGGAACGCGCAGGCATCCCAACGTTCTTGCCAGCCGGCCTCCCCCAGCATGTAAATATCAACTTCAACCCATCCCCGCCGTGCCATGTGCCATGTTATCGCGGGCGTTGTTCCACGCCGCGCCGGTCGAGCGTTTGGAGATCAAGCAGATAATAACCAGGAAATAGTATGTAGAGGACGCGGCGTCGTCGTCGCCGTCATGTACCACGCTCATTGACAAGTCCTCCGACGCACTTGCTGGGGGCGGGAGATGGGCCTCCCGCTCTTCCACGACATATCCTGCGCTACTGGGCAGGGAGCCCCAACCAACATCGTCAAGCCAACCGCCTCTACCTCCATATGTATGTGTACAGGTGCCGCTGAACCCGAAGTTTCCCACAGCAAGAGCAATGCGCACGTCCGCGCCTGGTTGCGGATAAGTAACTCGTGCGGTGTTTTGCCGGCTTCATATCCCAATCGGAGCGTTCTGATACAAAGATCAAGACACCCTCTGGTGGCTAGGTCTCTGGACATGCTGCACCACCTCGTCACTACTGGCTTCACTTCCTGGACCACCCGGGACCTGTCAATACCGCCCACGCCGCTGGCCGCTGCACGTCTGCCATTGGCACGGTATCAAGGAACGCCCTCCACTAAAGCCCGTACGAGAAAAGACGAATCCCGCGGGGCCGATATCGTCGAGGTATTGTGTAGGCAGCGATCCTACAGATGCCGTCTGCCGGTTCGTTGGTGTCCTGTTTGTTGTTTTGTCTTGGTGTTGTACCGTCTTTTTGCGGAGGCTTGCCCCCTCTTGACATTCTGATCTGGGCAATCGCACTCCTTGTTGGTCATTTTAATGTTGTTCTGTGTGTCTGGCGCGTTTTCAATTACGCCCCCCCTCCCCCCCTGCTGCTTTGAAATTGGTTGCATTCCGCGTCCTGTTTACGGACCCCTGGCCCCTCTTGTGCCTTAAACACTGGCCAATCGGGCCCCCCTCTTGGTCTTTTCTGGTGTCTTGTTTGCGTCGGGCGCCCTTTTCATGACGCCCTCTGTACATTTCGAGCTGGGGTGCTGCGATGTGAGTGTCTAATTTCGTGTTTCGTTCATGCCGAGTCTTTCTTGACTCGTTTTCTGTTTGACCTTTTCCGGACTTTTTTTGTCAGCCTCTTCGTGGCTCATGTAGTGTTGGGTTTAATTGCCCTTTCCTTGTGGGTTGCTCCACCTTCGACGAAAGTCTCGAATGTTGGACGTCCCTCAAATTATGTGCTGCCATTAATTTATTTCTTGGCTACCGTTCGTTCCCTTCGGCCCTTCGTCGGTCTTGGATCGACGACAGTAGTGCCAACCCTCGTTCCCTGCGTGCCATATTTGGGTCCTGCGTACGTAGTACCCGCTTGTGTTCTTGTTCTGTTTGCATTTTGGTTGTGGCGAAGGTGTACCGATTCTAGTCAAAGTGAATCGACGGATACCCTGCGAACCGGGAGCTCCTTAGCGCTGTGTCTCCTCAAATTAGATCAGAGATAGTCTAGGCGTGGTTTTGCTTTTTGTGGTTGCCGTTCCCCTCGACGTTTTTTAGATGT